AGGTCGTAGAAATATTTCAAGCGCAGCTCTGCGTGACATTTCAACAGAAACAAGTTCATTTCCATGGAATATACGACGTTTAAATTTTTTATCTTTATTCCAAACAGTTTTTATTTCCCTAAAACTTATAAAAGCATTATGCACGCTTATATCCACCATATTTTAAAGAAGAGATTGTGAACGCTTGCCAGAATATGTTCTGATAACTTGATCCAGTGCATCAACCTCCTTTGCCTTGGCTTTGTTGTGGAAGTCGATAATTTCAGTCTTCATTGTGTTGGCGCAGATCTCAACATTGTTGTAAACTGTACTGAGAAAATTAACCACTCTATTATTTTTAGACACATACAAAACAATNAAAAAAAAAAAAAAAAAAAAAAAAAAAAAAAAAAAAAAAAAAAAATTGTGAGTAATTTTTCTTCAGTTGGGTAATTTACACAGGCAAGAATAATTAGTTCCTTCGGACCGTTCCAATTAATGTTAGTTTTCGCTTCAAAGTTTTAATCCCCAACACGTGAGATGTCAAGTAGTTTTCTCATATGACGTTGTGACCTTGTAAATCTCTTACCAAATTGAGTACAACAAGACATTCTTGGCCTATTTCAATCTTACAATTACGATCTTTACCGGTATATACCTGCAAGGACCACAAGACATTTCAACAAATGTGTTTATAATATATGAATAAAAGATATGACGATTTTATACCATCAGTCCTTGATACATCAGTCTTTGCAATAACTTATCGTGTATTACCGGTTGCGGTGTTTATAACATTTTCTCATCTACCAGTTCACACATATTTACCATCTTTAGATGGTAGTATTCCTACATCGTTTCCCTGCTGAGCAGGAATTTCTTCTTCCCCATCCGTTCCTTTAGTAAAATTTGGGTCAAAAAACTGATCCATATTTCTCATCTTCACTAGCATTATCATTTGGTTATTCATCATTCAAAGTAAAAGGTTCGTTCGGTGTTTTTTATTGATTTTTCAAAATATGGTAACTTAGTATACATTTGTCGGATTTAAGTCAAATATGCGCGGTTTTGTTGCTGCGTCTATGTTCGTACTGTTTAGAATATTGGGCAACTTTGTTTTAAGAAATAATAAAAAGTATAAAAGTTTCATCCGGTTATATGAAAACTTAACAGAAATATTCATTGATAAAAGTTGTTCGGACAATTTTAACCCATGAATAGAGGATAAGTGTTCAATTTATTTAGGGAGCTGTCTCAGACAATTTATTTTTGGTATTTGATAGTGAACAATTTATTACAGCAAAAGTTTGGACTGTGGAAGTAAGAGCTTGTATTTTGGAAGCCACCACGTAGACAGCTCCATAAAAATAAACTTAAAATACTTTTTTCTAATGTCAGTGAAACTATAACTTACTACAATCAAATTGTTTCTACCTTTGTCGAAGAAGAATAAATCACAGAGTTTTTTAAATTTTTATACTTTAGCAGTCTGGGTAGCATCAGTTGCCTACTCTGGGGTACATGGTTCGAATTATCGCCCATCAACGTTGAAATTAAATTAAATTTATATGCTTCTACTGCAAGCACCGTCAACGCGATCAATACAATGATTTTTAACTTTCATATCGATGGCAATGACGCCAACTAAATCAATTGTTAAATTACCGGCCTGATTTTAAATATTCCCGGGGGAATTTTTTTCTGTCAGTTCAGTAATAGCTGAAGCGATTTTGGGCCGAGCTCTTTCTCCAATATGTGGTTTACAGTTTATACCTACAGTTTATATTAAACCGTCTTCGAACGGTTGATTGTTTTCTTATGAGGAGCTTTTATTTCATTTATGAAATACACTCGTAGTGTTGGGCATTCCCTGATAATTAGAAAATTTAACTTAATTTTTTCTTTAAAATAATTTTCGATAACTTTTGGATGTTGGTGGCTTGGAGATTTGAGTCCGAACCTTCCGAATGATGGTATGCAATGCTAACCACTCGGCTACCGCGGCCGCCAAGAAAAATAATTAGGCATTCTTAATGTCGCGAGAGAACAGAAATAAGGGTCAAGGAGATGAATTTAATTTTCGAATTTCGACAATTGGCTTTTTGTCGGTTCTTGACATTTCAAAATCAGTTGCGAATTAAATAAATAAAAAAAATTAAGAAAAATGTATTTGTAGTGAATAATTGGAAAGAATTTGAAAGAAAAACTGCATTAAATTAGTGACAGAAGAAGAGAAGAGAAGCAATAAACCTCTAAAGCACTTAAGAAGGCACCCGCATCGCATTTACTAAGAGATTTAGTGACTACTTTGAAGTGAATAAGCCTGCATTTGAACATTTACGGCATATTTTGTTGCTCAGTACTTTGACAACAAAGAAACATTTTGCCCTTTCTCCGCTGGTGAAGTTTAGTGATTTTGTTAAATTTAGAATTGCTGGATAAATTTTAAAATTAATTGTGTCTGAAGTAGATAAAAGCTGCTGAGATAGAAGATGAAAGGCGTAAAATTGTCTTTGTTTTCTAAATGAAGCACGGCATTCCCGGCGTAGTAGATTGCATTTATGGGACACATTACTTTTATTGAAAATAAAAAACTTTTCTATAACGAAAAACGAAACTTTCGCTTAAGTGTGGTGCTGTTGAGATATCGAAAGTACTATTTTTTTTAATAAGTGCAAACAAATCCCATTTAAAGCTATGTAATCATGGTAAGAGAATACAATATCTCAATGGATCTCTTTCTGGAGCTTGCTACGGTTCCTGCATCTGAAACCATAGAAGTTTACGATCCCATTTCGAACAAGATTATTTAAGCGGTTCAAAGAGTTAATTGATTTTGACCTGACAAAACAAATTAAACTTTTTATCATAAAAAAATATTTTTTTTTTAAATGTATTCAAGATACATTTTTCATTTTCCTATTTTCACATTAGTAGTTCCTTTGAAGTAGCAGATAACTTCGTCTTACTCAGAATAACCTTGCTGGCGTCTACCTTCGTCTATCTTGAAACCATTATAAACAACAGTAACAATGGTCAACGCCGGATCACTCTTGCCAACAGTACTCAGCCCTGGCAATTGAAGAGTAAAGTCCTCTCTCGGCAAACGGTGTCCCATCTCTACAAGTCGCTCATAGTTTCCGTCCTTCTATTTGGTACAGAATCACAGACGATGTCAACAGCTGATTAGCCGGCTTTAGGAATTTTTGGAAGAAAATTCTACTAGTCGGTAGCGGCGAGTACCGTTACCTATGGAACGATGACCAGTATGAGATATAAGGCGACATTGACATTGTTCAGTGAATAAAGAAACATCGGATCTGCGGCCTAGGTCATGTGACCTGTGGAGGCAAAGGAAGAAGAAAACCGCTACTCCGTTCGAAAGACCAGGTTTAGAAGCAACTGGCTACATTCTCTCGGAATTTTCGTTTAGAATCGTGCGGAATTTTTAATATGCATCAAATAGATTCATTTACCTTTATTTGCTAAAATATTAACGAAATCTTCCTTTTCTATAATCACCCTTTAAGATAGTGAATATTGTTTTGTGAATTTTTCTTCGCGCAGGTTCAGTTTCAGAAGAAGGAGAAGGATAGCAGCACGCTCTCATTATCTGGAGCATCCCGTTTAAACCTGAGCCACCGCGGAGGTAAGCTTATGGCTAAATAAATACTGATGAATTAATAAACAATTGAAAAGCTTTATTTATTTCTAAAATTCATAATTAAATTTTTAAAATTATTAAACGTTGACGGGAAAATATTTATAAATAACTCACGGCTCTATTGGAGCTTTTCCTAGCGCGGAATCGATTATTTATCTTCTTCTATTTCCGATAATAAATTTTTTATAAGGTTTACTGAGATGATAATCCTCTATTGATGATCTAAACCCATTTTCATTTGAAACTTAAATCTCGTAAAAAAATACTCTCACACCCTCACAGTGGATCGACGTTTGAGAAGCATTTAATCCTTCTACCGCGAGGCACCACAAATAAGTGCCCGGTTATTAGGCAGGTTGTTATGCTTGTGGAGGCCCGGTTTAGAAGGAGTAAATACTTCGTTCTATTTACCTGATTAATGGCCACATTTGTCTTATCACATTGGTTTCGCTCTGCCATCTGCTGTTGGCCCTTTCGGTGACGGTTAGCCTTAGCAGTTACTTAGCTGAAAAAGTCGGTATGCCCGGACTATATGTGAAATGAGAGTAAACCAGCAAGATGTCTGTCCATAATGAACTGATGGAATTCACGTAAATAGTTGCTGACGTGAATGTAGGTTTTTGTGTAATATGAAAGGGATTTCAAAATGGAAAACACTCCAGCGGTTATGGAGGGCCAATATTATATTTCACTTAATTGAAAGTCTTGTAACATGAGAACGATATCAAAGTAGGGCTTTCGTCATAATATTTATTTGAGAAGTAGAGTACAAAGCTATACAATCTGCTTGATTTTCTATATGGTCTAGCGAAATCCGAAAATAAACTGCTAAAATAAATTTTTTCACATTTTACTAAAAACGCCAAAACCAGGTTAGGCATTGACCTATGGCCTCTGATAAACACAGTGGTGTTTCTGCCGTGTTAGATAAGGCAGCTATTCGGAGTTTAGATGCAAAATAAGCTACGGAGCTCGACCTATCACCAGCGGCGGTGTCGTCTTTAGTTTACTTCAGGTATATCTGAAGATCCTGACAGTGGAAATTACTGGAACTCTGTATAATTATAAATTAGTTACCTTGAAAAAAAACAGGGAATACTTCTTTCATGGCAATTTCAATACTTTTGTTTACCACACAAGGCGCCAAGCACCAATCAATCAATAGGAAAATCATTTAGGAACTCATGAAAACACTTCATTCCTAATGAAAAACAACTCAACTTTGCTCTCTCGTAGGTCAATAAATATATAAAGAATAATCGTCTTACTTCATTCATAATGGAGTTTTAGGTTTTAAATAAATACTTATTAGATGTATATATGTAGTTTCGCTTCCTATTTTCAAGTAACCACTTACCTTTTTCCTGCAACTGTTGCCGCTTAACGTCGCCCTTAAGCACTTCAGCCGTGTGAACCAATTCATTGAGTTGTGGCTTTTTCATTTTTAATTCACGTAAAACTTTCTGTGAAAGCAAAAAAAAAAAAAATAAAAAAGAGGAAAAATGTGAAGCGATTAAAATGAAATATTGTAAATCATTGAAAAGTATGACGGCTCGTACATTTGTATGCGCGTTATGTATGTACATATGTAGTGTTGCACTACTTTCTACTACTTTCAGACAATAAAGAGCTCATAAAATAAAATTTCATTGAAAGTGAATAAAATATTTTACGTATATGGATGGCAATCAAAAAGCGCAATATCAGCACACATGCATACCGTTATTCCGAAATGTAGAATATTTTATTGTCACTGTTTGGTTGTGCAACAAAAAGTGGCACAAAACGTGCAAATTCCACATACAGCCGGATATGAGAAAGCGCTCGAACAGAATACTGACCGATTTCGATTTCCACTGATGGCCCCTGTCTGCCTTGCATACACACACACACATACAAAGTACAAATCGTCTGTATAGATATGCATACGAGTTTATGTATTTCATATCCGCATGGTTATTGCACTCACCTCCTGCTTCTCGATGGCCATGCGTACCGCATCCACATCGTCGACGGCAACACTTTGTATTTTTATCATATTTTGCTCCCACGTCAGCCAATCCGATATTTGGAGTACGGATTTATCAAAACTACCGGCCAATGCACCTGTGCCGCTCGGCTCGTCGTTATAATCTGGATGAAAAGAAATGAAAAATTCAATTTATTAACGGTATTTTGCATACAGATTTCATTGCGCCCATTGAAAACTTTGCTGGAAAATAAAATGCGACGCAGAATTATGAAATCTTTCGGGTCAGTTTGCCCACAGGATGAAAATACATTACATTGTCAGTGCATTAATTGAATTCCCTTCTATAAAAGAGTGTACTTTGGTGGAACTCAGGTTCGGAAAGTGGATAAATGTCGGCATATTATGGCTATGTGTGGGTGGTGTAGCAATAACCGCAGCCGAGTGAGGTTATTTTCGTTTTGAAGATGACCGATCAATTTGAATTTGGATGGAGCTTTCAACTGCAATTCACCGGAGAGTGGCCAGAAAGAATCCTTTTACATGTGGTTTAAATAGCCCATGACTTCCAGTCTCACACTGCTATCCTATCGGTAGCGAGCTAAAGTAAGAAAACAAATTCTCATATGGTTGCGTATAGGGATGGGCAACCACCACATGAAACTTTTACTACAATGAAATAAACACAAACGGTCTCTGATGGGGGTAGCCCGGTGATGACGACGCTCGCCCACGTCTACAGATTCACGATTCCGAGGGCATCACCCTGGAATGTCCGGGAATGTGCCGTTGCCCGGCTAGATCATGTCGTCGAAAGATCATCGTCGTCCAAGAAGTACGGTGGGTGGGGCAAGGATGGAAATGAAAAGGACCTTGTGACATCTACTACAGCTGTCATATAAATGAGCGTTAATTTCCGGGGAAAAACTTGAGAAAGGCCACGACGCGGAGTATGGCACTCACTTCGGTGGATGAATGTCTCGCAACAATCCCCATCAAAGATAAATTCTTCAATATCGCTGTTTTGCGTCCATGCCCCGGCGAAGGAGAATTACGTAGCGGCAAAGAATGTCTTTAATGAACTCCTGTCTTATGAGCGCTGTCCTCGCCGCGATGTCAAAATTGTGATTGGTGACTTCAACGCCTGGATGGGCAAAAGAAATATCTTCGGCAAAAGTGTCTGGAAATTCAGCTTGCACTACAAAGAATCTCTAAATGGTTTGAGGCTGATCGTCTTCGCCAGAGTCCGAAATATGGTCATCTTTAGTTCTAGATTTCAACATAAGAAAATTCATTGATAAGCGGACGTCATATGTTCCTCCTGCGAATACTTCGAGGACCCAAAAATCAACTCGAGTCACTATCTTTTAGTAACAAGGATTAGCAACCGCCTCAGTGCAGAAACGAACTCCCGTCAGCGAAAACAATGAAGGTTTGACATCCATAATTTGCAATCATATCAGACGAGCCGAACGGTTTTCTACTCGGCCTGCACTCTTGCACTCTAAAACTACTGATCAAAAACTGCTAGACGGAAGTTCCCTATGTACAGCAGCAAAGGAATCTATCGGTTTTTGAAAAGATCACAAAAAAAGCTGATACAATGAGAACTGCCGTGTTGCAATGGAGAGACCATGGGTCGACCACTATGCGAGCGGGATACCGGGAATTATAGAGGGAAGCAAGACATATGTGCAGATCAGGAAAGAAAGAATCCGAGATGCGTGAGTATGAAAAGCTTGGGAAACTGGCTGACAAAAGGTAATACTTGAAAATTCTACAAAAAGATACCGTGACTAACAGCAGGTTTAAAGACCGGAGCAGACTCTTGTACGAATTAAATAGATAATCTAACGGCAAATATCCAGAGCATTCTGAATTTATGGAGGGATACACCACACCACCACATCAGAAGACGGCGAACCCGACTATCAAATCAATGAGTATGGCACAGATGTTTTATTATCCGACTATAAAGGAGTTTAAATAGCGATCGCCTGCTTGAAAAATACCAAAGCGGCGGATGTCGATGGATTACCGGCCGAGCCGGTCTGGCGATCCAGAACTGATAGGGTACAGGCATCAACTTCTTTGCAAAAGGTGGTCGTATGAAGGCATATCTGACTATAGGAACTAAATGTGATCTGCCTTATACAGAAAAGAGGGGATCCCACAGTTTGCATCAATTACCATTACTTTATTAAAGGAGTTTTTTGGTCAGCAAATTATCTCGTTATATATGCTGTGCATGTAGTGCGTCCTCCAGGATCGAGCGTTTGACACTGCTGGACTACTTTTGTGAGGTTATGTGAAGCTATTTGTATACGCAGATCAGCCAAAAATGATTAATACCTTGGAAAAGAACATTCGGCGCATTATTTCTAACATACGGCATCGACTGCTACAAAAAGTGTAAAAAAACTGGGCCACTCGGCTGGAATTTTTCGAGTCCAGAGCGGCAGTCGCTCGTTTGTCTTTTGAATATCGCAGCTATGTACAAAGCGCTACAGAGCTCGTATCTGGCAACACTATACANATTTAATGAAGAGCAAAAAAGCGGAAGGGAGATATTTGACAACCTATATATTTTAACTCATTTTTAAAAACATAATGGCACACCCTTAATTTATAATGAGGCTAGATTCTTGTCTATAAAATTAAATTATATGCGTTATACTTCTCTTTTTGATAATCACATGCTTAAAAAAGCACCTTTTCATTCATCAAAGTAATTAGCATACGAGGTTAAACAGACAATACCTAAACCGTTGAGAGTACGAGTAAGCGAATGAAAATAGCAAATCATGTTGTCTACTCATCAACATCAACATCATTGTGATGCCGACAATTTAAACGGAAAATATTAGACTGTACATGCAGACACCCTCCTCCGGTTTTACAATGCGCGGCAACGCAATGAGCTGCTAATTAACATTTGACACTAAAAAGTGTAGAAGAAAATTAGGTGAAGAGAACAGACCTAATTGGTAAACTAACACGGAGATATACTTGAAAGGGAAATACTTTTTTCTCAAGTTTGTATGTTTAATAAAAGACAACCAGAACAATCCCGCGCCTTTGGTGGTTTCAACCCAAGCTAAGTGCGTGTTGAAGTGTCTGTCTTATTTGACTTCTATTCCCATTTTATTCCTTCACTCAGAAGCTTCGAGTATTTGGAATACAATTATGATTTCCTTTTTTTTGTGCTACTCGAATTTTTATATATTTTTTCAAGCCTGAAATCTTTGCATTAATTAACCTCGTTTTAACGGTCATTAATGACAAACGCAGAAGAGAAACTCTAGCCGTTAGACTGTCCTGCTGAGTTGGGATGATATTTAATGATTACGTGTCATAAGTGTGTTTGTATGTAGCCCAGCTTTTGGTCACCCGCGGCCTGTGTGGTTATTCGACCGCTGAGTTTGTGGTTTTCATTCCCACTGACTTTATTAGGTCAGATTATGTGGGGGAATACAAGCGCGCAGGATTGTCAGCGCCGCACTGCTGTACATTTACAAAAAACGAAACTGTTTAATAAATGGTGTTTTGATTTAATGATATTTAATACAAATTATTGACTTGACGAGCTGACATTAATCTATTTCGCCTAAAAGTAGAACATAAAACTTTATAAAACCTGCGGGTCCAGTGAACGTTGTTGGGGCAAAAGTCAACTATTTTCCGTATAAAAACGTTTGTGGACATTTTTAAAAAGTTATATAATTCTTTGGTGTATTTATATGTATAACTCCCATATTAAGTAAATTCTAGATTTACCTAATCTTTCAGACTATTATTCGATGCAAGTTCTCTACATAATCAGTGATTGTTCCCCCTGTCGCCAGCTTATTATACATGGCATCAAGGTGACGGAAAATGTATGCAAAGGCTAGAATTCCCTTAAACGCTTAATAGCGAAGACACTGGCCAGCACTCCGTGAGAGCACCACGTGAGAGTGCTACACAGCGCCCAGAACAGTTGGCATTAAAACCCTCAAAGCATTTACCAGACATACGTCGAAGACTTAAGGATCTTAATAATGACATCACAATGAACCGAATGGCCCAAGAGTGTGGATTACAAAGTGGCAGTTCCATCAATTTCACTCAACTTATAATTACACCAACTTTTTTGATCACTTTTTGCTGTAAAAAATAAATTTCAGCTCACTTAAAAAAATTCTTTCTTCTTCTTCTGCTTTACAGACGTACACACACACACACACACACACACATCCACACACACGATTATAACACAGTTTACAAGATTGTGTCATTCCAACTTTTTCCATGTTTGGCACCTATTGGAAAGACCAAGTGAAGTAGCCGCTGTCTGTCTCTTCATTCGCTGCATTATGCCCATGTCGCCATTTTACAGCTCGTCGTCCCATCGTCTGCAATATTCGCTGTTGCCCATGCACAAAGGACCATAAACCTTACGCTAAACCTTTCTCTCGAAAACTTCCAAAGCCGACTCATCAGCTGTTGACATCGGCCACGCCTCTGCGCCATATAGTAAGACGGGTATTATAAGCGACTTGTAGAGTTTGGTTTTCGTTCGCCGAGAGAGTACCTTATTTTTCAAGTACCTACTCATTTCAAAGTAGCATCTGTTGACAAGAGTGATTCTGCGTGTGATTTCCAGCCTATCATTGTTGTTGGTGTTTATATTGGTACCAAGATAGACGAAGTTATCTGTGACTTAGAAAATATGACTGTCAACAGTGATGTTACAGCCGAATGCGAGGACTGATTTCACTTGGTATTCAAATTGACGGTAAATACCGAAAGGAGGAAAAGAATGGCGCGATATTGTTGATACGACTTTAGCCGTGTAAGCGGCAACTCAGTAAGCTAAGGAAGAAGAAACAGCGAAGTTTTGAGGCATGTCGAATTCAAACAGAGCGCCATGAATCAGCTGTTTCGCACTGCCGACGGCTGCTTAAAAATCGACGAAAAGGTGGTATGTCCCGATCCATTTTCATGTGTTTTTCCAAGATTTAGCGCCTTGTGGTATAAGGTTCAATCAGCTTTTTGGATGGTAGACTTCACACTATACGCTCAATACTATCTTATATGCGATATTAAGAAAGCTTACACCACGGTAGTTGGCACAGATTGTGGGTACTTCTTGTGGATCGGCAGTGCTCAATAAGGTAATGTA